AATCTCTGCTTCAGAGGAAGAAGAAGACTGTAATTCCATAACAACATCTCCGTAATCACTTGATGATTCTGGTTCAGAAGAACTAGTATTAAGTAACAATTTACTTAATTGAAGTCTCAGTTCCTCTTCTATGTGAAGACTACTGAGCTTTTCCTTAGTTCTGCATTTGTTTGCATAGTGGCCTATACGTCCACATTTGAAACATTTAGCCTCAACTTTGGGCTTTCCTTTACCCTTTGCTTTAGGAGTATATCTCCTTTTAGGCTTAGTATACTGTCTAGAATTATCCTTTTCTTTTGAATAATTCTTTCTTTTGGAATACTTCCTTTTATAAGGTTTTTCAACCTTATTTCTTTTCCTAGGTTTAGGATAAGATAAGGGAGTCTGATAGGCAAATTGATCACAAAATTCACCTACTTCCTTTCGACCAGTTAATCTTTGGGATTTTAACTGGGATTGTAACTTCAGATCATTACAGAGAGCTAGACCTTCTTGGATTACAATGTTAACTAATCCACCATAGGTATAGTTTCTGTAAGGGATAGAGATACCATTATTCATATCTCTAAGCTTTTTCCTGATTCTTTCAGCAAAGAAGGTTGGTAAACCATCTACAAATTTGGCTTTCCAGTGCTCATGATTTGCATCATTAAGTTGGAGAACCTTTGCCAAGAAGACATCTTTATACCACCGGAAATGAGTTAAAGATGGACATCTTAGATTTTGTAGGAGTTCACGACTCCGTTCACTATTAGCACCTTCAGGGCCAACAAAATGTTGGATAATAGTGGTAATGAGTGTATAAACCGCATCAGGAGCAGGGCCTGATTGTTGAGTAGCTTCATCTTTAACAATCTTGGTAGCAGCAAAGATTTCAGCTTTCTGAATGTCAGTGAGAACATTATCCCACCATCCTTTAAGGATTCCTGTAAAACCAGCAACGACAAACTTAGCAATGGTTGGGTCAGTATTGTGGTTGATTTTACAAACTTGGCTATACATCAATATTTGATGAATAACCTCGTAAATCTGATAATCAGATTTGCCATCTATGTTCCATTCATAAATGGTCTTGCCATGAAAAGATTTCTGTGTATGAAAATAATCTTCTTCATACAAGATATCTTGAGGTGTGGGTCTGGGATAATAATATCGACTCGGAGCAGGGGCTGTATTTGAGTGGATATTCTTATCATAGACAATTCTGTTGAACTCAGGTAACTGAGTAAGATCCTTTAGGACTTCCTCAATATGAGGCAACACATTCTCAGAATCAGAACCAATTTCAGATTCATCACGGGATAAAGTCTGAATTTTAAGTCCTTGAATTTTCTGAGTAAGAAGAGTAAGAAATTCTTCATTCTTCTTAGGATGTGTCAGATTGAAGCCTTGAACTTCAATTGCAGGTTTCACCAATGCTTTGGATAAGGAAGCTTCTGGAGGAGAAGTTTTCACAGAAAGACACTTAGTATTAATTGTATTTAATACCGTGTCTAGTCCCGTTTCAATTCTCCCAAGCTGGGATCCTATCGTTTGTAAGCAAACATTGGTATAATTGTTCTGCTTGTAAACATGAGTAATGTCCTTTCTAGTAGCAGTACTAGTTGGATCAATTACTTTTGGTTGGCTATAAGCCTTGGTTTCCACTTTAGAACCACTGTCCGGGTCAATTCTTTTTAGAATTAGATGGTCAGGGGGAGGATGGACAGAGTGGAAAACCTTATCTTCAGATGTGGTCCATGGTTTGAGGAAATCATCCAATATGTTAATATTAACAAGAGAATGATTGGTCATATAGAACCAAGAGACAAAAGGTATAACCATTTTGTGTTCTTGTATGTAGTCATAAAATTGGGTTTTAAAAAGCTGTAACTGATGTTGGTCAAAACTTTTGAAATACCAATTTCTGAATTCTTTATATTGATCCTGTTGAAATTCAGTATTAATGGCAATTCTATCAGGGACAAAATCCATTAAAACTAATATTCCTGAGGGTCATTGATATCTGTGGGATCTTCAAATTGATCCTTAACAGATTCGTTTCCGATTCCCATTTCAGATGGAGTTGGGCTGAATTCAATTCCAAATTGGCGACGAGACATACCTATTGGTGCTTTCTCGTATACCCCTCTTGGAATTTGATTCGGAGATTGTTGTATTCCTTTCAGCTTGAGCTTGGAATCAACTGCTTCAGGGAGTCCTTCCTTTCGGTAATCGGACGAGATCGAGTGTCTAGAAGGAGGACAAGAAACGCGATAAGGAAGATGACTTCCTTTGGATGATGTAGATCTGGATAGATCTAAGGATTTTCTGAAATTCAGAAAAACATCACCATCCTGGTCCTGAATTACACAGTCTAGGCTATGGTTAGCAATTGGCTGTGCTGGAACGGCATTAGAAATCGTCCAGTGTTCAGGAAATGTTATCTCACTCCAAGGAATCATCCTTTTCGTGGCAACATTTGAGGTGTACATGTTAGTATCCCATAACGCTGTTACTCCTTTAGAGTCTTTGCGTATGGCCTTGGGACACATAGTATCAAGTACTTTGTAATGGATGCGATAAATAACACTTATCACTTCCGATCCAGGTAAGTAATCATATCCATAAGTCTGCACCCTAAGACTAACGGCCTCATGGATATTTTTATCGGTTAAAGATAAATTCAGACTAGGATAGACATCAAAATAAACCGGTCCATGACATAGACTGGTTTCCAGTGCACCCATCAAAGAAGGGTGAAATTTCAGACATCGAGCATCCCTTAAGGTTGCTTGAATGCAGGCATCCATACCTAACAAGGTTAAAGGTTTAAAAGCAATTTGAATTAAACCTATATGGATGTACTTATATTTATGCATGTGCCTCTGAAGGTCACGGGGAGACAATAACTTAATTATTGTATCCTTAGTGCTTAATTGCATGGTTTGTTCCATGGTCTTGATAGTCCATAGATCAGCTAAATTAAGCATTCCGATTTTGTAAATGCTTTTTGCACTTACTGGAGGGATAGTCCATTTGTTCAATTGATTTTGAACATTGGTCCATTCCACGACTTCAGTATTTTTTACCAGTTCTGAATCCTGGTTGTCCTGTAGTCCTGAAGAAGAGGACGAAGATGGTCGTAACATGGCTGTTAATTATTGTTAATGCTTTAAGGTCTGAGCAGTCTAAATATTATAATATTATATAGTGAACAGTAAGTTACTATTCTGTCGTCGTTCTGCTTAAGAGAGATTCTATTACTCGTCTGTCAACGATTTACTGGAAACAATACCCTGTGCAGCAATCTAATGCAAAAACGGGTTAAACATTCCAACGCGACTTTTGGACGACCCATAATTGAATCTGTGATAAACATAATTTGGACAGAATAATATTCATATTGTTCATTATATAATGACGATAATATTCATGCTACCAGAACCTAAAAAGCATTAACAATAAGAATTTAAGCCATCATAGCTCTGATACCAATAATATGCAAATATAATAATTATAATAATTATAATAATTAATATGCAAAGGATCGATAGATTAACAACAAGTATTGAATAGACTTACAGAAAACTTTCTTTATTCAACTTCAAACTTGTACAGAGAAATATTACAGAGGAAAGAAAAGAAAATTGAAAGATACATTGAAGGGAAACATTGCCTTCTATTTATACATAAAATGGACTTAAAATTAACATTTTGAAGTCCGCATAGTGCATGGGATCGTGTGCTAGAATAATGCAGTCGGTCGGCCCACCACTAAGTGTTGTCTCCTTATCTGATGGAAAGTAGACATCTGATGAAGGGAATACTGTTGAATCAAAGACTTTTGGGAAAAGTTCTTTGTCTTCTTCTGTCGGTAGGATAAGAGGAATCTTTACTTTTTGGGTGGATTCATCTTGTCCTTCAAATGTCCTGTGAGAGAGTCCCAATAATCTGCTATTGAAATCTCGTCTTCGGAATTAAGATCTTCATTGGGATCTTGAGCATAACCTGCGAGACAGGAAAACTGATTTCCGTCTTGACTGGTCTGGCTAGAGACTGACACCATGGATGCATCATCTCTTACTGTGGGAGTTCAAAGGATTTAACAAATTTGTTCCTCATAAAATCCATGCATTTAACCATTAAATCTGCTTCGGTAATTAATGGTTGTTGTTTTCTGATCATATCTTTAACAAGTTCAAATGGGTTAAAGATTTCAGGTTCTGGAATAGTTAACTTTGACAAAAATGGAGACTAAATACTCCTAGTTAAGAGGAACGATCAGTTCAAACTTCAAATGGAAGGCAATAGAATCTGTCAACAAGAGAAAGGTTAAAAGGTATGCGAGTCAATGCTAAGGACATGACAGTTCGTTGTAGAGTGATCTAAGCATATGGAGACCGATACATACATTTGGACCTCAAATCCTGAGTTTTAATATAAGTCTACATTAAATCAACTAAATCTGTTTTATCTTGGTGGACGCTATGTTCGGTAGCATGGAAATGGAATTGGAGAAAAATTAGTTCAAACATTAAACTATTTTTTCTCCGATTCCAATTCTAAGGCACCAATTCCATGCTATTTACATGGACTTGGGTACGGGTCTCGGCCACGGGTATGCATCCATTTGTCGGACGTGTCAAATCTCGAAACAGAAGGACACACGAACACGGCTAAATATTCATTTTATTAATTATTTTATTTTATTTTCTCGAGTAAAGTGATGTTTTTATCTAATATAATGTTCAATATAGGCATTAAACTCTTTTTAAAGTAATAATATAATGTAATTGAATAATTGGATATGTTTTTTAAGTACATGTCTAACCAAAAGTGTCGGACACATATCCCATACCCACGTCCGAGGGAAATGTGTTCGGATACTTCACTTCTTTTGAAGAGTCCATGTAACAGAGATTCCATGCTTCCGAACATAGCAGGAAAGTATTTCCAAATATAATGATTTAATTAGTTATATTGTTACAAATCTCAATAAAGAACAGCATGAAACATACAATATACAAATCTGTAGACAAACCTCCCAAGTGAAAGCAAATTGCCGAAGGTGAATGTTATTCCAAACTTGATTGGATTGAAGAAAACAAGAATTGACTGTCAAATATGAAGAAAGAGAAATGCAAGTTAGTTCCATTAAAGGCTAACAATATCTCTCCCCATCAAATTAAAGGTTTTCAATAACATAAAAATGTGAGACCTCTTTGGCTATGAAGCCGTACAAACAGAAAATGCAAGGCAATAAGCATTGAAATTGAGTAAATGTAATTTCAAGTAAATCTCTGAAAGAAATAAGTCAATGGACCCAAAGGGAAACAAACCATTCAAAAATGCTCTAAAAGTTTTTCATCGAAACTGTGAATCAAAATATGAGTGCGCGAGTAGTTTTGAAGATGTTAATCAATAAAAGGTCATTATTCAATCTCCATTCTTCCATTGCTGGGAAGGGTCACATATCAGTTACTCCTTCATTAACTTTGTCAGATACACTTCATGTTCCACAGTTAACTACAAATTTTATTTCTGTTAGTAGCGTTACCAAATAATTAAATTGTAGTGTAACGTTCTTTCCCTCTCAGTGTATTTTCCAGGATCTGGTGTCGAAACAGACGATTGGCAATGGGCGTGAAGTGGACGGTCTATACCATTTGGATGCTCCTTTGTCACCTCAAGCACATTCAGCTTCATTTTCTAATTTTGTTTCATCTAATAAAGCCCAGCTTATGCATTGGCACATGCGTTTGGGACATATTTCTTTCGGTTATTTAAAACATTTATTTCCTTCCTTATTTTGTAATGTGACAGTATCAGATTTATCTTGTGAGACATGTCATATGGCTAAACATGTTCGTTCGAATTATCCTGCTAGTAATAATAAATATGCTTTAACACCTTTTGATCTTGTTCATTCAGATGTGTGGGGTCCTTGCCCAGTTACTTCTAGTCTTGGATTTCGATATTTCGTGTTGTTCATTGATAATCATAGTCGTGTTACATGGGTTTATCTTATGAAAACCAAAAATGAGGTATAAACCATTTTTAAAAAATTTATGACAATGGTTCAGACTCAATATGGTCGTACCATTAAAAATTCAGATCTGACCAGGGTACGGAGTACACTTATGGGAAGGTACAGCGATAATGTAAAGAATTTGGGATTGAGCATTAGATGGCTAATGTTAAAACTCCTCAACAGAATGGCCGTTTTGAGAGAAAGAATTGCCACATCCTTGACTTAGCCAGAGCAATCTGCATTGGCATGAATGTTCCCTAGTCATTTTGGGGAGATGCAGTTCTTACAGCTGTTTACATCATTAATAGGACTCCTTCTAGGGTTCTTAACTTTGCAGCCCCACTCTCAATCTTACATCCCAATTCATCTCTTTTTTTTATTCCTCCGCGAGTCTTTGGGTGTGTGTGTTTTGTTCAACAATTGGGGCAGATTCGTACAAAGCTTGACCCCAAAGCTTTGAAGTGTGTGTTTTTGGGCTATTCTCACTCTCAAAAAGGTTATAGGTGTTACCATCCTCCCAATCGTCGGCGGTATATCCATGGATGTTTCTTTCTTTAAGCATACACCATACTATAGTAGTTCAGTTGGTTCTCAAAGTGAATGGTTCCCATTGAATATAATGGATGATCACTTTCTTCCGTCTTCAACTACTCTACCTTTACCTGTTTCGTCTTCTATGATTCCTCCTCGTGATACCCCTTTAGCAGGGGGAATTGTTCCTTTTTCACAGGTTTATAGTCGGAGACAACAGGTACAAGCTTCTACTCCCACGATCGATTGCCCTATTCCTTCAGCACCAGCTCTGCCTTCTCAAGCTATTCTTTTGCTTGATGATCGCCCCATTGCTCTTCGAAAGGGTAAACATTCTTGTACATACCCTACTTCTAATTTTGTTTCTGATCATGCTCTCTCACCCTCCTATCGGAGTTTTCTTGTTTCTGTTGCCTCGGTTCTTCTTCCTTCTAGTGTTGCAGATGCACTAGCACAACCTCAATGGCGTGATGCTATGACAGAAGAACTACAAGCATTTGAGAAAAATCAGACTTGGGACATGGTTCCACTTCCTATTGGACGAAAGGTTGTGGGTTGTCATTGGGCGTTTACAGTTAAGCATAATCCAGATGGGTCAGTTGCTTGTTACAAGGCCAGTTGGTTGCCAAGGGTTATGCTCAAACTTATGGCATAGATTATCAGGAGACTTTTGCCCCTGTTGCCAAGATGAATACCATCCGTGTATTATTTTCCGTTGCTGCGATTTGATCTTGGCCTCTATTTCAGTTAGATGTCAAGAATGCCTTTCTTAATGGTGATTTGCAGGAGGAGGTGTACATAGTTCCTTCTCCGGGCTTTCGTTCTCCTGCACATTCTGGTATGGTATGTCGTCTTCGTCGTTCTCTGTATGGCCTCAAGCAGTCTCCTCGAGCTTGGTCTGATCGCTTTGGCACTGCCATGCTCAAGTTTGGTTTCCATCAAAGTGCAACTAATCATACCTTGTTTTTATGTCATTCAGGGGGTAAGACAGTTGCTCTCATTGTGTATGTCGATGATATTATTCTTACCGGCGATGATACTATCGGAATTGCCGAGGTTAAGAGCTATCTTGGCAGTCAATTTGAGATTAAGGATCTTGGTCCCCTACAGTACTTCTTGGGCGTTGAGGTGGCTCGCTCCAAGGCTGACATTTTCATCTCTCAACGCAAATATGTTCTTGACTTGCTTTCTGCTTCTAGTCAGCTTGGCACTCATCCTACTGATACTCCGATTGAGCAGAATCATCGGTTCGCTGATTCTGAGGGGGAGTTGTTGTCAGATGTTGGACAGTATCAACGACTTGTAGGGAAGCTCATCTATTTATTCATGACTCAACCTAGCATTGCTTATGCCGTGAGTGCCATGAGTCAATTCATGCACTATTCTCCTACCCCTCACCTTGATGTAGCAATTCGGATCCTTCGCAACTTAAAAGGGTGTCCGAGTCGTGGTATTTTGTTTGCCAATCATGGTCACTTACGTGTTGAGGCTTGGACAGATGCTGATTATGCAAGATTAGTTTCAAATAGGAGGTTAACTTCAGGTTATTGTACCACTATTGGTGGTAACTTGGTTACTTGGCGCAGTAAGAAGCAAGATCTTATCTCTCTCGATCTAGTGCAGAGGTAGAGTATAAGGCTATGGCTTTTGGGGTATGTGAGTTGCTATGGCTGAAAACCTTAATGACAGACTTGTGCCTTCCAGTGTCGCTTCCATTCTCACTCTACTGCGACAACAAGTCTGGCATTAGCATAGCAACAAATCCCGTTCAGCATGACAGGACTAAGCATATAGAGGTGGACCGTCACTTCATTCGAGAGTAGATCATCTCTGGTCAAATTGGCACTCAATTTGTCACAAGCTCTCAGCAGCTTGCAAACATTCTTACAAAGGGTGTTAGCAAGATTATCTTTGAAAATGCATTATCCAAGTTGGGCGTTTCAGATATCCACGCACCAACTTGAGGGGTAGTGTTAGCATATATGATATCCACGATTTATGGGATGACTTACAATAATAACAGAGATTTGACTATGCCATAGAATATGCCATAAAATAGGTTGTGATTTGATTTAGATTTGATTTAGTTTCCTTTCTTGTAAGAAGAGCATGTGCTTTTTTTATCTATAAATACTAGAGCTATGAATGAGTGATTCATATCGCCTTTACAAATTATAAATCTCATTCAAACCTTTTACATATTTCTCTTATCTTTCTTCCATATTGTATTTCTACTACCCTAGCTTATTCAGGCGGTTTCCGGGCTGAAAGTCAACGTGGCTAAGAGTGTGCTTGTTCCGGTAGGGAATGTTAAGAATATTTCTTCTTTAGCTACAGTCCTTGGGTGTAGGGTGAGTTCTTTTCCCATTCCTTATTTGGGTTTGCCCCTAGGGGTTTCTTCCAAGAGAGTGGGGAGTTGGGATCCTGTGATTGACAGGTATGCGAAAAGATTGGCAGTATGGAAGAAGCAATACTTGTCTAAGGGGGGTAAAGTTACTCTTATTAAGAGCACTTTATCGAGCCTTCCCACATATTTTTTATCTATGTTCCAAATCCCATGCTCCATTGCTGATAGGATTGAAAAAATTCAAAGGGATTTCCTTTGGGACGGAAGAGGAGAAGAGTTTAAGTATTACCTTGTCAGATGGGAGCAAGTTTGCAAGCCCATGAAGTTGGGTGGTCATGGTATCAAAAGATTGGTTTCTTTTAATCAAGCTCTCCTGGGTAAATGGTTGTGGAAATATGGGAAGGAAATACATCGTTCTTGGCGAAGGCTAGTCTCTTGTCGGTTTGGGGAAGAGATTAGCAGATGGTCTACCCGTCCAGTTTCTCTTGTGGGAGGAGTCGGGGTGTGGAAATCCATCAGGAAGGGATGGGATGTCTTCTCCTCTCATATCAGATTCAAAGTTCGTAACGGCAGATGCGTTCGTTTCTGGGAAGATCTTTGGTGTGGTGATCAGTCATTATCTCTTACATTTCCTAGATTATACAGTATTGTAGTTGAAAAACACGCCTACGTAGCTGATTGTTATCGGCTTGATAATAGTGGGATTACGTGGGATGTGCATTTTCTGCGTTCCTTTTAAGATTGGGAGTTGGACGAGGTATGTGTTTTTCTGGATCAGTTGTATCGGCAGGAGGGAGTTGGCAGAGGTTATGACGTTCTGACATGGATTCCCTCTTCCCATGGTCGTTTCGAAGTAAGATCTTTGTTCTTATGTCTGTTGAATTTTGGTAGCCTTGACTTTCCGTGGAAGACCATTTGGCGTTCTATGGCTCCAACTAGGGTGGCATTCTTTGTATGGACCGCTGTAAGGGGTAAGATATTGACGATTGATAATTTGAGGAAGAGGGGAAATTGTTTTGTTAATTGGTGTTGCCTATGCAAGTAAGATGGTGAGTCAGTTGATCATATCCTTATGCATTGCCCCGTGGCGCACGACTGTTGGAATCTTATTCATTCATGCTTGGAAAAGATGTCGTGTGAGAAGGGGTGTACGCGATTACTGGAGAATTGTCCCACATTGTGTTTGGTGATGCATCTGGAAGGAGAGAAATAGTAGAATGTTAGAGGGGAAGGAGTTATCTACGGCAACGCTGAAACTTTATATTATTCGCTCTCTTTTCAATTATGTGAAGAGGAGTTCTTGCTCCTCTTCCGATGATTTAATTATTATTTTTTGGATTCTTTAGGGCCTTAGCCCCCGTTTCCACTTTTGTATAAGGAACGCGTTCCCCTTTTGAACGCCTTTTTATTTATTTCTTACTTATCAAAAAAAAGGAATTGTAACTTATCAAAAAAAAAATTAAAAAAAAAAAAAATGAAATTGTAATCCTTATCCAACAAGGAATTGTGTTTGTAACTTTATAAATAGGTACATATGTTGTAAGTTGAGACTTATGAGATTGAGAGAGATGAGTCTCATGAGGGAGTTGATGGGTAGAGATAATATGCGGGTTGGTAGAGTAGGAAAAACACTGGTGACGCTGATGGGTTTCGAAGAGAAATGGAGGAGATGGATCGACACGTGCGTTTCCTCGGTCAGATTTTCTGTGTTAGTGAATGGGTCGCCATCCGGGTTTTTAGGCAGTTCTCATGGTTTGAGGCAAGGGGGCCCACTCTCCCCATTCTTGTTCATTATTGTTATGGAGGCTCTTAGTAGGTTGATGAGAAGGGGTGTGGATTTGGGATTTATCAGGGGCTTCAAGATTGGTCCAGATTCGTTCAACAGATGGAGATCTCTCACCTGCTTTTCGCGGATGACACTCTAGTTTTCTGTGAGGCAAATGTGTCCCAACTGAGATATTTGAGATGTGTCCTAGTCTACTTTCAGGCAATCTCAGGTTTAAAAGTCAACGTGGGCAAGAGTGTACTTATTCCTGTGGGGGGGATTCAGAAGGTGGCTTCTCTTGCAACGGTTTTAGGGTGTGGGACGAGCTCCTTCCCTATTTCTTACTTGGGCTTGCCGTTAGGTGATTCGTCAAGGAGGGTGGGAAGTTGGGACCCAATGATAGAGCATTTCAAGAGAAGGTTGGCTGGGTGGAAAAAACAATATCTTTCGAAGGGAGGGAAAGTTATTTTAGGGAAGAGTACATTGTCCAATCTTCTAACTTATTTTCTTTCGCTTTCCAGATCCCCTCCTCTATTGTTGGAAGACTTGAGATGCTTCAATAAAACTTCCTCTGGGGCAAACAGGGGGAGGAGTTTAAATTTCATCTTGTCCGGTACTCTGGTGGGAGCAAGTGTGAAGGCCCTTTAAGTTAGGCGGTCTTAGGATTAGGAGATTGGCCCCTTTCAATAGAGCGCTCCTAGGCAAGTGGTTATGGAGATTCCGTAGCGAAAGACATAGGTTATGGAGAAAAGTTGTTCCATGTCGTTTTGGGGAAGAGATAGGGGGATGGTCATCTAGGCCGGTCAGATCTGCTGTCAGCGCGGGGGTGTGGAAATCCATTGGGAAGGGATGGGATGAGTTCTCTAAGCATATTAGATTTAGAGTTCGGGAAGGAAGGGACGTCTGGTTTTGGGAGAATACTTGGTGCGAGGATCGCCCATTGTCTTGTTTGTTCCCAAGGTAATAGACATGCTTTGATAGTTGACTGTTATCAACTCGATAGCGGTAGGTTGTCTTGGGATGTGCAATTCCAACGATCCTTTCAGGATTGGGAGTTGGACGACGTCACTGGCTTGCTGAACCTTTTGTATAGACAGGAGGTGGATGGTACTCGTTCGGATTCCTTGACTTGGGTGCCTTCTTCGTAAGGGACTTTTCAGGTCCATTCCTTTTTTCTCTGCCTCTCCGGGTTTCACGGTTCCAATTTCCTATGGAAAACGATTTGGCATTCAAAGGCTCCTCTTAGAGTGGCCTTTTTTGTTTGGACTGCACCTTGGGGCAGGATCTTGACTTTGAACAATTTGAGAAAGAGAAGACAAATCATAGTCAACCGGTGTTGTCTGTATAAGAATGATGGAGAGTCTGTGGATCGCTTTCTTTTGCATTGTCATGTGGTTCATGACTATTGGAGTCTTATTTTGGGTCGGTCTGGCGTCGAATGGGTTGTGCCCCAGACTTCAAGGGATTTGATTAGAGTATGGAGGGGCCAAAGGGTGGGGGCTCATGCTCGTGACTATTGGAGGGTGACCCCCCTTTGTGTTTGGTGGAGTCTTTGGAAATAGCAGAATAGAAAATCTTTTGATGGGGAGGAATTCTCTATTGGGGCATTAAAGTTTTCTATTATTTGTTCTCTTCTTAGTTGGGTTATGGAGAGAAATTGTATATCTAACCATGGACTTTTTGGGTTCTTTGGTTCCATATGACTCCCTTTTTTGGTTTCGGTATTTGTATAGCTCTTGGAACGTGTTCCCCTTTTGAACGTTTTCTAATACAATTTTACTTATCAAAAAAAAAAAAAATCTCTATGAATCATAGTGGAATCTCTTGGATGTAGGCTAGTTTTGGCTGAAGTGTTGAACCATGTATATCTTGTGTTTGTCTGTGATTAATATTGGCTTTTATTGGATCCTAATTTGTCTTAGTTAGTCGCCTGCTTCCGCTGCCCCAACAACATATATATGCAAAGTAGAGGTACATAAAGAGTAGGGTTAGTAGTGTTTTAAAAAAAAAGGAAACTAAATTTCCGTAGATTTAGATAGGTAGAGGGGTTGGTTGACAATCAACACAAATATAGTGACCATAGATCGATAGCTAGATTGATTAAAGTTTACTACCATTATACTTAGAAAATTTTAGAATAGGAAGTTTTCAAACACTTTTATGCAGATTTGGAAAGATTTAAGGAATCAAATCAAATCATGAAATCTTAGAAACCTAATGCATGTACACATGAACCCTAATTTGGCGAGTGCATCCAACTATTATATTACCTTTTCACCCTTGTGGTAGAAGATAACACATTTACTCGTGTGTATAGCTTGAAGTTCCTTCTTCAATCATTTGAAAGAGGAAACAAATATCACTACCTAAATTTTCAAATTTCTAATCTATATTAAAAACAAAAGTTGCACACACCAATAATAAACTATAAGCTTACTCTTTAAGGTTACAGGATATATACTAGCCACTAAATGCTTATTCCTATTATGTTACAGCTAGGCAGGGTCTGGAAGAGAAAAAGGGAGCTCGAGCAGAGCAAGAGCACGTAAAGGACTGAAACAATTGGTAGAAGGGCAACCATGGAGCTAGCTTGTGATGTAGAAAGATGATCTTGGAATTTTAGGAGATACATTCAAGACTTAAAAGCACTCACATAAATCATTTATCCATGCATTACTATTTTGTTCTTGGTAGCTTTAAAAAGGCATATAATATTGTAGAATACGGATACAGATATAAACACATAAAACTAAGTATGCATTGTATACATACATATAGAGTTGCTTTAAACGTGATCAAAATCCTAAGGCATTTTAAAACTGCTGCTCTACCACCTCATCCATTCTCTATGTTTATATCACATTCACAATACCACAATAAAGTAGGTAGAGGATCATTGCATATGATTTTTAAAAGATTTTCTATTTTGAAGAGGGACCAAATCATACCAGAACATGTCCCCTCAAAACTTTGTCCATAAAGGGCAAAAGTTATAAAAATTATGTTTGCCACACCTTTCTTAGGATATGTGCAATATATGTCCTTTCATATGCTTTATTGATTAAAGTAAAATTTTGGATCTGAAATGTTCACCTGGACTAATGATAAACAAGAGAAGCTGTGCAGGCTAAAAGGTCTAAGAACAAGGCTATAATGAGATGAATAAAGTACTTAAAATGGCATTTAAAATATTAAGGACCAGCTAAGGATGTTGTCACTTGACAGCTGCCACTGCTGTTAATTTCAAATGTTATTATTATATACTAGCGCCACTATTCCTACTGCTTTTAAGCATACTATAATTGCTTATATAGGGCTCGTTTGGCAACCATTTCCATCTGCATTTCTGTTTTCATCCGAAACAGAAACAAAATTTTTGTTGTGAAGCATGTTCATTTGTGATTCGAAGCATGTTTGGTAACATAAAATTTTTTGCAAGATTTTTGGAAGCTAAAACATGAAAACATGTTTGGTAAAAAAGTGTTGCATGATTGATTTGACTTAATGGCGACTTAAAAAAGGCCACCTAGAGTTTTTTTTTTTTTTTTTTGGTGCTATTCACCACTACAGTTTTTTGCTACAGCGCAAAAACATTAGGAAACACCAATGTTCCCTATTTGGGCCTCTTTTTTGGCAACAAACATGGTAATATTCAAATGGCAACAAAAAAACATGTGGAGGTGTAACGGTGTTTTGCTTCACTACAATACACTACCCGCAACACAAAACATGCAACAAAAACTGTTGCCAAACAGGCCCATATATATTATTACAAGTGTTTACGTTTCAATTAAAGGAATTTCTTAACATCTGCTTGTTCTTGGACACACAATCTAGATAACTTTTAATAATGAGCGAAACCTAATGCTTTCACCAACTACCATTACTTATATAATCTTATTGGAACCTAAAAGTAGAGACGACAAAGGGGGGAAACACCTCATACACTATAGCTACTAATACTAGGGTTTCAACACGAATACAGGGCTTTAATTAAGTTTTCAAACCAGAAAAACTAAGAAATTCCCATTCATTATTGCAGAAAGAGCACATTTTCCAAGAAAAAATATTCTTAACTGACAATGAAGTAAAAGTATGACTTAAGTATTCATTGTTTGAACTTACCAAGAACGTACAACTTAAACCGGTAACGAAGCATATGACAAAACCGTAAAGCCTCTGCAAGAGAGAAAGAGTAATTAGTTAAAAGTTATCAAGGCCTTTGACGTAGACTGCCAAAAGATTATGATAAAAATAGTACAGAATCTACATATAACTTTTGATCCTACACAAACACCACTTTTTTATTACTAAAACTGTCTTAGATAATGTAAACCTAAAATAAATTCATAGTTAATGCCAGCTGAAGCAGAACTCCTAACCCAATTAATCTTTTTGGCTCAAGCAAGTAACATAGCGAATTTCATTAGTGAATCTCCATTGTTAGATTGCCTTTCAAACATGCCAGTGCGGCAAAGCACACACTAGAAAAGAACGTTAGATCTATTACATGGTTAGTGACTGGTCCATTCAAAGCAACCAATTTTCAAGATAGAAAAAGTTACCATAATATTTTTCTTGGCATTAAAATTGTAAATATTAGTACTTCTAAATGACTCTTGTCAAACATCTTTCTAATAAACTAATTCATGAATAGACTAATCGGGTGATCTTTTTTACTTAATACTTCACATAGCCACCAGCATATAGAAACTGCTATGCTCGTAACGCTATTCATCCAATTCACAAGTTAAATATTTTGACCTCATCCCACAGTTCTATATCAGGCTGCTTCTATTTTCTCAATGAGGCATGTCGATATATACTTCTTTGTCGGGCAGAGGATTGCCTACAATAATGAGTTTGTCTCCTAGATCCTAATAAAAATTGAATTACACTCATCATCGACAGCAACTTCTAGTAACGACCCCAACTGGGCATGAAATATTCTACTTACTGGAAATATATATATTTATTCTACTTTTTTTCAAAACTTCAATTTTGGTTGCTCTCATTATCTGGCAACAATAACAATAATAAAAATTTACATGAACTGGTTCTAGACTGCAAACAGTTAGTAAGGTTAACTTTCTTGTCACAAGATACATCACTTCATCTCCGTTTACTACAATAGATATTGTTCGACATTCTATGATTTTTCTTCCTGCTTCTCCAATAGATTTAGTTTAAGGTCATCCCAGCGCCTTCTCTTCATCAAACCAAATATCAAAGACGAAATATATTCATGTGAAATGTGTTGTTTTTTTAGTAAATATAGATTGGTAATGCAATCTTTTAGTTTATAAAAAGGTGAGGATGAAAAAAATTCAAACCCTACATATGATGACAATTTGAATGTTTTTCACAGCACCTAATAAATTATGGCAGGAACTACGAGTGTATATCCTGCCTAAGAAGCTGAAAGGAGTAGACTAGATGTAGAATAAAATCAACATGAGCCTTCAAGCTTGTAAGATCAAGTTTTTAACATTCCACAAGGCAATGACCCTTAGGCACTAATTACTAAAGGATAAATACAAAATGCAATAAACAAGAGAAATTATCTCTCACGTGTTACATTTGTTCAAATTTGAATTTGATATAATTTGATTAGACAAATATATATTATAGATGCCTATTATTTGCCGAAAGAATGTCATAATACAGAATTGGTCGATTGTTTCATGTGTTTAAATTTGAATTTGATAAGATTTGATTAGACTAATATATATTATAGATGCCTATTATATGCCAAGGTTTGATTAGACAAATATATATTATAGATGCCTATTATTTGCCTAAAGAATGTCATAATACAGAATTGACCAAGGTGAACAGGTAACGCAAGGAAGGTGGTGTTAGGAAGTAGGAAATTAGGAATGACCCTTTAAGGTATTTTTTGACCTTGGAAGCACGGACTTGATTCAACTTAATAATGTTGATAAATCCCTCAGACACACTTTTCATTTGAAAGTTGTAGGTGCCGAGTTCGATATAACGAAAAGTCATGTTTGTTTTTTTTTGATAAGTAAGAAGTCATGTTTGTTCAATGGGCCCACAAGTGGTCAAGAGCCTAGGTTGAGACCTGAGCTGTAACAGAAGGGTCTTCAAGGGGGGTGAGGAAGAGTGCGAGGAACTGATCTTGATGGACTCTTATCAAAGTTATGGAGTGCGAGTTCTCTATAATTGTTGAATCCCTTTAAATGACACCTTAAGTCATCCTTTATACTATCTATCCATGGGTAAAAAATATAGGGTAAAGGAATTAACCACCGGTACCAAAAGGAGATGTCTGATTAGCAAAATTATAGGAAGAGCTGGATGGAACATTGTCTCATGGCTCAAGGCAGCTTGTCATGTCGACAGAAGAGTATGCATTTATTGCGATTGATCCAGAACGAGAATCTTCATTATATGCTAACCTTCAGCTGTGTGTGCACTGGCCTTCATCAATCTTTGAAGAGGAAGAAAAATCTAAAGCACATCATTTTCAAGATCTGCGTTGCTGCCACAGTTTACAGCATATGGAAGGAGAGAAATGAAAAATTATGCTCAAACTCCTCCAAGGATGCTTTGGTTTCTCAAAAGCAAATTCTGGATGTTATCAATCAGGATGTGGCTTAAGAAGGCTTTCAAGTTGTCTGCTGAAATCCAATGGTTACAGAGAGACTTAGTGATGCAGCAGCGGGTAGGGGCGATTCGAAAGCAGAATTCAAGTAGAATAAGAAAGCGATTGAGAGAGAAAGGGAATAATAATAGAGGGAAAGAAATCATAAGAGAAGAAGAATTTAGAAGAGGAGAAGAATTCAGAGGGAGAAGAAATCACAAATAATCTCAAATTCAATATCAATAATAATCATAAAAAATTGACTTTCCCAATGTCTAAACCGACATATAAATAGACATCAAAGAAAACCCTAATCAACCTATTACCATAAATAAAACCCTAAATTGCTGAAATATCCCATAATAATAATAAATAAACAAAAATCCCTAATTCTATCTTTCTTTCCCACGTCTCCAATAATAGGCATGGGCCGTATGGATTTCAAGCTCTCGGGCCAGGCCCGGTTCTTCATCATTCCCTCCCGGTTGAGAAGAACTCTCCTCCGGAGAGTAAATGCATAAGTATATCTCCAAAAAGTATGGGTCAATACTCTGTCTGGTATTTAAAACTGGAAAACCCTTCCATCGAACAAGGTAATAGTCAATATCTCCAAGATGAGGGCCATCACTCTGATAATCAACAATATCCTTTGTCCAAGCCATATAATGCGACTGAAAAGATAGATGAACTAATGCCGATGCTGAGGAAAATGTAAATCCACCTGTAGGAACACATGCCAATAAAATAGGAGGCTCAAAGGTGCCTCGGTTATGTAACAGATACTTCACTTCAAAAATTGAACTAGTACTCATATCCAAAGACCAATCAAAGAAATACGCATTAGGTCCTGATTTTTGAATGATGTGGTAAAGTCTATCAATCTTGGCATGTTTCATCTGGAAGGAGTTTTTATGACAAGGTTGAGGTAGTGCACAAATTATAGCATAATCTCCTTCATTAAATTCATGATTCCTATGACGAGCATGTGCAATGAGTTCATAATTCTTTTTACTTAAGACAATTTCTTGTCGCATATCGGCATAAAAATCATGAACAAGCTGAACGAAGGAATCAACAAACTCAAGTGAATACATACATGGAGGTGAAGGAACATGATCAATGGACTGGCATGGAAATGAATTATAGACAATTTCGAAAAAATAATTGCCAGTAAATTGATTTGTTAAACTTGTATAGGCATATCCCATTATGGGCAATAACAAATTCCAAGTGTCTAGGTGCACATTAGTAAGAAAACTAACCAACTTTCCTAGACCTTGTTTCACAACCTCAATTTTTCTATCAATCAAAGGACGAGATGCAAAAGGAAACTTCAAATTTGTTTCTAAGAATGTCCAAAGTGTCTTCCAAAAATTAGTATTGTACTTGACATCCTTGTTTGACACAATAGACTCTTTTTCAGACACATCTGGACCAATAGAAGTGACTACTTCAGCAAAATCAATGGACAAAAGGACCATGGATGGTAGAGCTTTTGAAAGACAAGACTTGAGAATTGTGGCACAATTGTTCAAAACTTTTTCTCCTAACTTGTAAGATTGAGGTGAAATAGTTTGATTTCTTCCCTTAACACTAGTTAGAAGAGGACGAAGTAGCTCTACTGATATATGGTCGCTTTCTTCGAGGACAAGAGTCATAATTTTCTCCATGGATGAAAAGACACTATCGGAGTGATAATAACCTATTTCCCTTAAAAAGTGTTCAAACATCTCAACAATTAATGCATTACAATCCAAATCAAGCATAACCAAACGTGACTTGACATTTGCAAATGTGTGGATAATTTTGACCCTTTTACCATAAGATGGACTAGATGTACCAGATAAATTTTCAAAAGATGATACAATCATCTGAAATACTTCTACCATTTGATCATCATTGTAAGGGAAATCTGGTGCTGTAATCCTTGTTAACTCACTAAGGCATAAGGCCACTGAAACCCTAACATCACAATCTGAATGCTTTAGAAATTCTTTAGCAATTAAAGCCTTCATTATTGGAGAGAGTGCAGCTTGCATTGAAGCACATGGGTCCTGATTTACTTTGCAAAGCAAGTGATCAGTTTTGGTAAGCAACCAAAGGAGCTCACTGATCGAGGATGCAGGTTGAAAAAGCCTATTTCCAATTTTCAGAAGAAGTTGTTCCAAATTTATTTTCAGTGTTGTTTTTGTTTCCCTATCATTTTCACACCAGTTAATTCTATTTCCATAAGATGGGAAGCTTGGTTTGGACTCAATAATCTTAACCTTGCTTGGCTTAGAACAAAGCCATCGGGGACATGAAACAATGTTCTCCTCCGACATCGTTGCGTACTAATGGAATGGAAGAGACATAAGAATGGTTGAAGATAATGCTGATATAGGATTCAAATTGAATTAAGGAAATCAAATTATAAACTGACACAATGCACAAATAAGAAAATCATAATGCAATGAAATCGATTATGTTAGAAATCATGCATGTGTGAGTATTTAGATGCAAAAATAAAGTTTAATGGACCTTTTGCAATTTCTAGACTAATCAATTGGATAAAAGTACTAATAACAATTTT